AGGGGAGAGTCAGACCTGTTCTATTCAGGCCTCCCCAATTGTAGGGGTGCACCCACACTGAAGGGGGCGGTCTGCTTCCCGCCGTGTACCAATTTAGATGTTAATCTCATCGAAAACACCCTCTCAGAAACTCCCAGAATAACGTTTGACCATGGCATTTCACAGCATAACAGACACATAAAGTTAACCATCAGCTTACCAAAGATAAATACAGAGTCTCTGGCTTATTTACACCTTCATCTAAGTATTAGACTAGCCCAACATAACCAACTTAAAGGGCTCCCTCAGGAAAAACTTTTCAGTTTTATTTTAAAAGCAGAAATCATATACAGTTGTCCCTGATCTGTGGATGCTCAATTCCTTTATGTAAATGTAAAATAATTCGTAAAGTTGGCCCTCTGCCCCCATGGAATGCCAATCATAAATCTAAAATACTATTTTCTATCATGTTTGGTTGAATTCAGAGGTGGGAAACAAAGGCATATAAAGGACCCACTGTATATTTATTGAAAATAATTCACTTATAAGTGGACTGCTCAGTTCAAACCCGTGTTGTTTAAGGGTCAAATGTGTGATACACACACACACACACACAATTTAAAATGCAAATTATTTTTTAAAATTTTTTTGAGGGGAGAAAAGGCAGGTAGAACTCACGTAGGATGTAGTATGCAAAATGTTTGTTGTGTAGACGTTTGGTTTGTTATATTTTAAAAGCAGAAATCATATGCGGTTGTCCCTATTTCAAATTTGGTTCTATGCTTTCTACCATTGAATGCGAATAGAAAATATGAATATAATGTTACTTATTTATAAAGCCCATAAAATGAAAATCAAGGTCACTGTCTAGTGTAGCTCTTTTTTCTACTACAAGAAGTAAAAGAGAGTGATAGAGAAAGATAGAGATGTGTGTGTGTGTGTGTGTGTGTGTGTGAGTGAGTGGAAGAGAGAGAGAGAGGGAAAAAAGGGAATAAGAAGGAATTATCCCATTCAGTGCTTTTAAATTTCTTGCCAAGGAAAGAATTCCTGTAAAAAATTCCGTTTAAAAGCAATAGGAAGCAGCTCCTCCCTCTTTTCAAGTAGCTTTGCTAAATACCTCTTGCGATTTAGAAAGAAAGACACACAGAGAGGTCCCACTTGGCTCCTTAAACTCATGAAGAGGGAACACTGTAACTGATATATGCTATTCTCATCTTAACCCTTATAATGGATACAGAAAAATATTTCATGGGTCTCCAGATGCACAACTCTCTGCTGGACTGGCAAGTTTTAGTGTCTCAGACGAGTCAGGGACTGAGTACTTTTCTAGCCATTCTCTCTTCCTGGGTTACATTTCCACTGCTCTACAGAGCTTTAGAAGAGACTTCTTATCTCCTAATATCTATTTTGCTTCACTTTGCTGCTTCTGGTCTCCCCCTGGGTTGACCTTACTCCTGCCCCTTTGGGAGAGCTCTTCTGTACATCTCTTCTATAGGTGAGACCCCATCCTACCCTACAGTTTCAGAAATGTTTTCACATTTTTAAGGGCCTAGGCTAGATTCCTCATCCCCCTTAATGTACAGATGGGGAACTTGAATCCCCAAAAAGGTTATGTGGCTTTGGACAAAGTGGACAGAAAGCTCAATCCTCACTATCGCGATTATTGTGACTTTATACATTTAAAATTTTTTAAAATAATTTTTACTAGCCATTCTCACAGTCTTCACATGACCTGTAATGCAATGTAAGTTTCCTCTGACTATTTCAGGTGTTACTGTTGAAAGAAGAGACATCTTGCGCCACTAAAAATATTGCGTCTGCTGCTGCCAAGTGCCAAGAGGAACAGGCTGAAACTCCCAAGGATGCAAGCAATAGATTTACTTTCCTGCATTATCTTTTCTTGGAGAAACTGATATATTCTCCATTCAGCAATTTTTTGTCCTTCTTGTCCTTTGCTTTGCCCTTCTCCATCAGCCGTGACCCAGAGATTATTCCTTGTGTTTACATAAACATTTTATCATATCCCACTGCTTTTATATCACTCTATTTTATTTTAAATCACTGTCTTTATCAGAAGTGTATTCTGGTCAGGTGGCCCAGTCCACTGCAATGGGCTGAGAAATGCAGTACCAAAAGGAGAGAGCAGCTGGACACCAGTGGACACTAGCAACTGGGCCACGAGATGTAGTCTCCCCATTCATTTTGAATCCTTCTCTATACAATAAATTCAGACTCACACAGAAGTGGTAAAAATAGTATAGTCTTCTCATGTACCCTTTTCAGTAGGAATACAGTTGAACTAATCAGCACCATCAGATTAACTAAATTTCAATGCTGGTTTTAGAAAACACAAGAGCGGGAAACATGTGTTTTCAGGCTGACATGGAAATACATCAAAATAGACCACATTCTGTTCCACAAAACACATCATCAGATGCAAATGATGGAAATCATACAAGTATGCTCTGAGTCCACAAAAGAATTAAACTAGAAATCAATAATAGAAAAATAGCAGAAAAGTCTCAAGATACTTGAACATTAAACACCATAGTTCTAAATAACACATTGCTCAAAGAGGAAATCAGAAGAGAAATTTACAATATTCTGAACTAAATGAAAAAAATACTTATCAAAATTTTGGGTGCAGCACAAACTCAGTGGAGGAGGGCACCGTACCCTGGGTAGAAATATTAATCTTTAGCAACCATCAACACAGTTTCAGCCAGGAAAACTGGTGAGGAGGCAGTGAACACCAGTGTAGCCAAGAGATGTAGCTCTCCCAGCATCTAGCATCACTGGGTAGGGTGGAAGTACTCTCTGTCCTCTACCTGACAGTAAGAAAGGAGGATTCTAAGGTGAGGTGGGGTGTTTGATATGCCTCTAGTTCTTTCCTTCAGTAGATCTACCTATTCAGATCTCTTCCCAATTTCCTGCTGTTAGTAGTAAGCCTATTTATGGAAGTTGTCTTAGCCCCTCTACCCAAATTCCCTATTCTCTCTCCTTATGGTCCCTTTTTACCTTATGCTGAACTTTAGGTTCAGATTGCTAGCTGCCAGCCTGCCCTGGGTTCTCTGGATGAGTTTTACATATGGTGTCTTTCATGGACTCTGGCAATTGTTTTGACCTCAGATCTTCACTAGCTAAGAGTGTCTTGCCTGGCTCCATTGCCCAGCAACTGATCATTCTAATCAAGTCATTGTTTTCCAAAGTAAAGGAGGGATGTCTTCCTAATATTTCAGAGTGAAGTATGCCTAAGAGAATCCAGGTACTCAAAATATTAACATAGAAATTCAGCTCTACATGGGTAAGGGATTAATTTAATTTTATACTCAACCTATTTGAAAATTAGGAAATAAAAAGTAAAGTAATAATGAAACATTATCTTTCATTCCAAAATTTGACCAAAATTTAAAAGACTAATGAAATAACATGCCTATAAGAATGTAAGGCATTTAAACACATTAATCTGAAAGAATATGAATTGGTATGGCATTTTGGGGACAGAAATTCAGCAATATTTGTAAAAATTTTCAACCTTCACACTCTGCCCACTTTAATCAAGTTTGTATTTTGCTATGTTTTTCTGATGAGAAAGCATGCACATATTTGCCCAAAATTTCATGTTCAAAGATGTTAATTTCTGTCCTATTAATCATAGCAACAAATGGAAAACGATTTATATGTCCATTAGGAAGAGAATGGTTAAATTAATGATTGCACAAACATAAGTAGTAATCCTTACTTATTTTTCTTTTTTGAAGGGCAGGTTGGAACATGATGATTGTAGTTTCCATGATATTTGATTAACGTCTTTACGTAATCAAGACTCGCAACGTCCCGATTGTTTCTATTTGATTCTTCCTGATGATCTCTCCTTCAAATGGCCAACAGGTACATGAAAAGATGCTCAGCATCACTAATCATCAGGGAAATGCAAATCAAAAGCACAATGAGTTATCACCTCATACCATTTAGGATAGTTATTATATAAAAGGTAATTAAGTATTGGTGAGAATGTGGAAAAACTGAACTCTTGTACATTGTTGGTGGGGATATAAAATGGTGCAACTGCTATAGGAAACAGTATAAATGTTCCTCAAAAAATTAAAAACAGAACTACCATATTATCCAGCAATCTCATTTCTGGATATTTCATCAAAAGAATAGAAATCAGGCTCTCGAAAAGATATATGCATTCTCATGTTGCTCAAGCACTATTCACAATAGCCAAGTTATGAAAACAACCTGAATATTCATCAAAGATAAATGGATAAAGAAAATGCAGTGTGTGTATGTGTGTGTGTGTGTGCGTGTGTGTGTGTGTGTGTGTGTGTGTTATTCTGCCTTAAAAGAAGAAATTCTGCTTTTTGCAATGACAGGGATGAACCTGAAGGGCATATGCTAAGTAAAATAAAAGTCACAGAAGGACAAATACTGTGTAGTCTGACTTACATGCAGTGTCTACAATCGTCAAACTCATAAAAACAGAATAGAACTGTGGTTACCAGAGGCTGGAGGCAGGGGAAATGAGGAGTTGTTTAATTGGTATAGTTTGTTATGCAAGGTGAATTAGTTCTAGAGATTTGCTGTTAAGCATAAAGCCTATAGTTAACAATACTGTATTGTGCACTTAAAATCTTTTTAAGAGTAGATCTCGTTAAGTGTTTTTACCACAAAAGAAGAAACCAAAAGACACAAGGAAAATTTTGAAGATGATTGTGGTGATGACTTCAGAGGTATATACGTATGTCCAAACACATCAAATTGTATGCATTAAAACTGTGCAGTTTTGCATGTCAATTATATCTTAATAAACTCATTTTAAAAAAAGAATTCTATAGAGTGGTTAAAGAGTGTGGTGGATCTATATGTGTTGTTGTGGAAATATTCTTAAGTGATAAGGTCGAGAGGCATAACAATATGTACATTGTTGTCCAAAATTCAACATATCAGATCATTAATTGTTGTTACCTCTGAAGAGAGGGCTGAATTTTGAGGAAACATAGAAATTGTAATTTATCTATATTGTTAGAATTTTTTGCAACAAGAATATATGTACTATGTTTTGTAATATTCAAATATATCTAACCACAAAAATAGTAGCTGTGTATTAATCACACAAAGTAACTGCTAGCTGAAGCAGCAGACAAAATCTGTAAATCTATAATGGCTTAAAACAACAAAAGTTTATTTCTCATACACACAAAATCTGACGTGGGTAGGCAGGGGCCTCGGCAGTCAAATGACCCAGGTATCCAGGCTCTCATCAGGTGGTTCCACTTCCCAACAAGAAATCTCTGTGTTTACTCCTGAATGGAATAAAAAACATGGTGGTGGCATACTGGCTCTCAAAGAGCTTAGCCTGGAGGTGACAAACACTGTTTCTGTTCATATTTCAATGTCAACAGTAGTCATAAGTACAAGTGGATTGGGAATCTGTAGTCTCCCCATCAGCCCAGGAAAGAGAGCAAGACACCATATGAATGAGCACATGCAGTCTCTCCCATAACTGTTATATAGTAGTTGCTCAATAAAAAGCAACTCTATTAGAATTTGTTATGAAAACAACCCTCTTTATTCCTTGGAGAAGTTTCTAAGGAGGCCAATTTGCCTTGCA